CTCCGATGGAGTCTTACGTTGTTGATGAGCTCTTCAAACATAGTTTATGAAGTTGGAGAGTGAGGGAAGATTTGTGTTGTTTTTAAATGGGTTATTGATTGAACTGAAGCGAACCTAAGTTGAAATTTCGGATTGAATAAGTCGGGAAGTATGTACTTTTAATAGTCCCGATCGTAATTATAAGTTCAAGGTTGAATGCATTTAGAATGGTTAAACTATAGGAAAATGTTAATGTCCTGTTATGGTACCATTCCGTCGGGTGTTTTAACCGTAGGTATCTTATCTAACTACATGCGGATTTAACGGTTAAAACACCCGGCAAGATGGTACGGTAACGGGTTCGTAGCATTTCCCTAAACTATAATACATCAACAACAAATTTCTCGCCAAACAAACAGATCATCCAACTCATGACTGAATAATTGCTAAACAATAATACCTGCACTTATATGTAAACATCCAAATTATAAAGCTTGGAAAAAAATCCAACCAAAAAAAATAGGCCAAAAATGAAAATGGTTTAGTAAAGCTTCATCTTATCTAGGACCAGTCTCATATCCTGATACACCAACTGCCCATTCACCAGACACTGCAGAAGCCGAAACCCTCGACAAAGACCTGAAAACATCGTCCATGTCCGGCCGATCTGCCGGGCCCCTCTCCAGACAACTCTCGACTATCCTCAACAACACCAGCGCAAGATCCTCTGGATATTCCCCTCCCAACAAAGGATCCATCAACTTCCTCAAACTCTCACTTCTCCCCCCATCCTCTGCCAAAACTGGACCCAAAACTTCCGATAATTGTGCCTTCACCCCTCCATACAACTCGGCCACCTCTTTCCCCGTGAGAATCTCCAACAACACGACCCCGAACGAGTACACGTCGAGCTTAGTCGACACAACTCCGTTTTCCAAATACTCGGGCGCCATGTAACCTTTAGTCCCCACGATATGCCTCGTCAGCACAAACCCACCACTGTCCTCATCCCCCTCGGCCGACCTCGCGAGCCCAAAATTCGCGATTTTCGCACGGAAATCCCTATCGAGAAGCACATTGCCGCTATTCAAGTCCTTGTGGATGTGAGGCGGTGAGGTGTACCGGTGGAGGTAGTTTAATCCGGCGGCTATATCTAGAGCAATTTGCAATCTTGTGTTCCAATTTAGGTTAATCTTTTTTCGTTCTTCATTTTCATCGAGAAGCCATTCGTTTAGGGACCCGTTTGGGGCGTACTCGTATACGAGATACCAATCACCATCGTGAAAACCGACTCCCGAGAGGCGTACGAGGTTGAAGTGGTTGATTTTGTTGAGGAGATTGATCTCTTTCGACACGTCGCCTTTCATTTTCTTGATGGCGGCGAAATCGCCGTTGATGGTGCCGCGGTAGACCGAGCCTGAGCTCGTGATCCGGCAGTTGGGCCCGAAATCTTCTGTGGCGGCCCGGAGCTCGTCGAATGTGTAGACTTTTAGAGATTGGGCTATGCTGGAGAGGCTGGAGAGGAAGTCCCCGGAATATTCCCCGTTTGATTCCTTTACCAGAGGCTTCTCCACTGACTCGAAGCTCTGGGATGGGGCGGCCGGGTCGGGTTTTTTTCCGGGTTGCCTTTTATTTTTCCTGAAGAATAAAAAGAAAACGACAGTGCCCAGGATGAACAAAGCGAATAAGCCGGCGATTGAGCCGACGAGTGCGTATACCCACGTGCGGCTCGAGCCGCCGCCGCCGGATTGAGGAGGGGAGGAAGGCGGCGGCGGCGGCGTCGGAGGAGGAGGAGGAGACGATGTGACTTGGGAGGGCGTCGGTGGGTTCCGGAGAGGAATCAGGATGGTGGTGAAGGGCCTGAGATCCGACGGGGATAACCCGTTGGCGGCTTGGATTTCATCGTCGGTGACCCCAAATTGAGCGCTTATGGTCGATAGAACCTGATTGAAGGAGATTAGGTAGCTGAGCAAGTAATTGACGCC